CATATATATATAAATTCCCTCCATGGCATGGAATTGAAAGAGGAAGCCTCAGTTTCTCCTTGCCAACAAGAGGGGAGCCCACAGTTTCCCCTCACCAGTAGTTCCTTTTCTCCCCAATGACCTGCCACACCTCATTCCCAAAGCCCTATCTTTAATATTCCTGGAGTTCCTCAGGGCCCTTTTTTTTCCCAGAACAAAAAAGTCACAAGACTAAGATAATGAACAATACCCAAGGCATGTGACCAATCAGATGACCCTGTGGATTCCTGTGATACTTATTGATTGATACAAAGGGCCTTTAAAAAGACCTACACAAAACTTGCTTTAATTGAGTCTAACACAAAGTTGCTTCCCACTTGGGGAACGCCTTTTCCTTTCCCTTCTTTCCAAAAAACTTTTCTACTTTCTAATCCCGAGTTTGAGCATCTTTATTATTCTTGAAAATATTGAAGAATCTGGGAAATCATGAAAGAACAGAGTCCAACCGCCACTTCGCCTCACCTGCCTCAGTATCCTCCCACCTCCTTGAGTCTAATAGGACACACACACACACACACACACACACACACACAAAGAGAGAGAGAGAGAGAGAGAGAGAGAGAGAGAGAAATGTTTAATTATTTTTTTAAGTTTAATTACCTGTGGTTGGGGCATGGCAAAAATCAATTTCCCCTTCTACAAGGCATTAATTTAAAGATAAATGTGTATTCCTAACATTCAATAATATAAGAAAGTGAACTTTCATCTAGAGCAAAAGGAAGCACAACATTAAAAAGTTCTAGGGGTTATGAAAAAAAGCCTCAGATTTTTGTGCTAGCCTGCTAAGTGGTATTTGATATTTAAAAACACATACACCTTTCCTAAAGATTACATTTTCCAGTTCAAGTCCTACAGTCGCCTTATAAATTGCCTCTGTCTGAGTTTGCAAGGGCTCACAATAATCTTGCTCTATCATCTTGCGCCTGGTAGGTGGGAAATTGGTGGTGTAAGAACGTTAAGTGCTATTGTTTGGCAAATGAGATTCCATTTCATTCCCTTGCATCTCTCCCCTGGTGCTTGTAAGAAACAAGCAAATATCCCCCTCTCACCTCCTCTCCAGGTGCTCTCAGAGCAGGCATAGTTCTTTCTCTTCTGCAGCTTTGACATGGGATTTCTAAAATTGACCCCCAAGAGATTTGCATTTATAGTAAGTGCTCTGTAGTAGCCAAGCAGTGATTTCTGAGCTCCGCTTTAATAACACTACATGAATATAATGTAAATGCAAAGCTGAAACCAGAAACCTGAGGTTGATATCCAGGCACAGAGATAGGTGCAGACAGTCTTTCCTTCTGAATCTAAGAAGTGGGAAGGCTTTCTTCTAGAATGTACAGAAAGCAATAGCTAAGTTAGGTGAGCCTCCGTTCATGTCCTAAGTAGTCAAAGGCACAGGAGGAGACTGGAAAACAGAGTTGAAATAATAGCAATTCCTCGGTGTGTACTTATCTCTTATCAGGGTTTTTCCCCTCTATTTTCACAATATAGACCTTGCACATTGCATAAATTGTTTTCCTGCTGCTGTCTGCAGGACAGATTCATTCGTTGCCCCTTCCCACACTGGAAGAGAGTCTTGAGCCAAGCATGGGTGGGCCGAGAAGATGGGAGCTCAGGGCTTCTACATTTGCTCCACCCTTCAGACTTTGGGTATTCGAAGCTTTGGTTTTCTCTATTTTGCAAAGAAATGATAAAGAGCCTGTGGTTTTATATCTTAGAACAGTTAAGAAATCTGTGGCCTCTAAATTTGGGAGGATATATTTCTATAAAGCATCTGACATCTCATGTGGAAGAATTCTAGCAAAACTGGATTCTTGGGGAATGCCATCCATACCAGAGACAAGAGTTTGACTGGAATCACTCTTTATTCCTTTTTGTTGCTGTTGTTTATGACTGTCAACATGCTAGCTGTCCTAGTAGTGTTAAGAAGCTAGTTTGAAGACACCAGAGTTATTCTTGGTGGTACTCAGGGCCCATATGGTGCCAGGGATTAAACCCAGGGCCTTTCACATGCAAGACATGCATGCAGTCTAACTGCTCTAAGCAATAATCCTCTGCTGTGAGGAAACAGTCTTACCCTTAGTAATACATCTGCACTGAGTAGAAACTAATGGTGTCTCCAGATTATCCCAAGACACCTGAGTCAGGAATCTTTTGGTCTCAAAACACACTCATGGATTATCAATGGGCATAGCAGGAGGTCTCCAGCATCCTTTCAGAACTCTAGAACAAGTACATTCTGCATAATTAGATGCCATAATAATGATCCACTGCCTTATATGTCACTCTTGCAGAGAAGGTCTTTTCCAACCTCAGAGAGACTGCAGTCAGGATTGAGGCCATTCAGAAAACCCTTCTCTGCAGGCAAAAGATATTGCAACATCCAAATCTCCCCAACCCCTCCCCCCCCCACACACAAAAAATCCCCTGCCCTTTCTACTAGTAGAGGGAGTAAGTTTTTTCCCATTTCTACACCACCTCTACATGTGACAAGACTCCTGAACTCAGGATCTCTTTATGTACTTTTTTTTTATTAGTGAAACTTTTTTTTTATTATGTACTTTTTTTTTATTAGTGAAACTTTTTTTTATTAGTGTACATGAGGTACAGTTATAGACTTACAAATTTTTGTGCTTGTGTTTCAGTTATAAATTGATCAAGTACCCATCCCTCCAACAGTGCCCATCCTCCACCACCACGGGTCCCAGCATCCCTCCCACCCCACCCCCCGTCCCCCCATCCCACCCTGCCTCTGTGGAAGAGCATTCCCTTTTGTTCTCTCTCTCTCTCCTTTTGGGTCCTATGGTTTGCAAGAGAGGCATTGAGTGGCAATCATGTTTGGTCTATAGTCTACTTTCAGCATGCTTCTCCCATCCTGGGAGTATCCACCCACCACCCTCTATTTGGTGCTCCCTTCTCTATCTGAGCTTCCTTTTCCCCTAGCACATGTGGCTGGCCTCCAAGTCATGGAGCAAATCATGCTCTTTATGTGATTTTTTAGGACACTTTGCCTGCCTGAGGTGGCTCTGTTAACTCCTGAGAATGTCAGAGTCACATGGCAATACAAGAGCACCAGAGCTTCAAATGGCATTGACTTCAGCTCCAGCTGTGCTGGGTGACATTTAGGTGACAGCCTGTCTACTCCTAGAGATGAATCACACAAAATTAGAGATGGGAAAGACCTACTAGGTCACTTATCCTATCCTCCTGCCAGCTCACAATCACTCCCTTACATTCTACTTCCTAGTGCATCATCCAGTTGGGTTTTAAATAGCATGGGATGGAGACAACGCATGTTCACCAAGTGTTCTGTCTAACAAACACATCCAGTCAAATGCCCATTATTTGATCTTTATTTACTCTAGTTTTATGTATACGGTAACATCATGGTTACTCACTTGCCCCAACTCCTTAAAATCAACTTTTGAGAAAAACTAGTGGGAACTCTCTCTTGCCTAGAATACAGTTATTTTAAGAAAAGCAAAGTATTTGGTAGAAATGAAGAGGAGTAATAAGAAGTGTTTCTATTACCTCAGTTCAACTTCTATTTTATTTGTTCTCTTATTTAAGTGTGACGCATTTATGGTTTGGCTTCCTTATTCCTTAACGTTGCTACAACTATGAATAAGCAGCATCATTGCTATTGTTTTCCATGTATATTTCAAGTTGTAAGTTTGTTGGTTTGTTTGTTTTGAGAACCACATTTGGCAAGGCTCTGACGCTTCTCCTGGCTTAGTGCTCAGAAGCTAGCTTGGGAAACACCAGAGATATTCCTGGAGGTGTTCAGGGGACTGTATGGTACAGGGAGTTGAAATTGATCCATCTCCATGCAAACCATCCTCACTAGCTTTTTGAGCTATCACTCCAGGCCCACAAACTTTTAGAGGGGTTAGCAACCCAAACTGGTAGTTCTCAGGGCTTTCTCTTGGTTCTCTATGCAGGGCTCACTTCTGGTGGGGCTCAGAGGAGAAAGATGAGGTGCAGGAGCCTGAGTTCAGGTTGATCGCATGTAAGGAAAGCACCCTGCCCACTTTACTATCTCTCTGGACTCAACTCCACAATTTTTAATTGTATGATTGTACCTTGCTTTCTGGGCTGGAGTGATAGCACAGCAAGTAGGGCATTTGTCTTGCATGCGCCGACCCAGTCGACCCGAGTTCCATTTGTCAGCCCCTCTCGGAGAGCCTGGCAAGCTACCAAGAGTATCTCGCCCACACGGCAAAGCCTGGCAAGCTACCTGTGATGTGTTCAATATGCCAAACACAGTAACAGTAACAACAAGTCTCACAATGTTACTGGGCCCACTTGAGCAAATCGATGAACAACAGGAGGACAGTGACCTTGCTTTCTATTTATATTTAAAATACCAGATCACCCACCGCAGCAGGGATGGAGGATGAGTATGAGGAGTAGATAAGATGGAAGGGGAACACTGGGACCATGGTGGAGGGCAGTGGACCCTTTGGCTGAGAGTGTTGTACTGGAATGTTCTATGCATGAAACCCTTCTATAAAGTATATTATACAACAGAGCCTAAAATAAAATATAGTTTTTGTTTTAAAAAATATTGTTAACCTAAGGATAACAGCATTTACCCTAAGGATAACGGTGGAGGAACCCTCAGGATATTGATGGATGGAAGTGAACACAGGTGGTGAATTCCTTGTTTGAACTCTGTAAACTCGATTATGAACTTTGTAAATTATGGTGTCTTTATCATTTTTTTAAAAAAATATTAGATTATCATTGCAACTCAAATAAAGACTATTCTCTCTATATCAATTATTTATTTATTCCTTTTTTTAAAACTTTGTCTTTTAATTCTAGCTTAACACAAGAACAAACAGAGTGAGGCTGGTATGTCCATTGTAAATAGTCTTGACTAAGAAATATACCTGTTTCTTTATGTGTGGACAAGCAAGAGTGTTTCTCACGCACAGCATCCAAAAATGCATTTACTACTGACTTACCTTAATTTGCCCCTTTAAGCAAGGCTCACTGCACACAGATCGGACCATGCCGCTCTTGTTCATCTGGATTTTGTAATCATCAATGTTCAACACCCCTTCGTGCCAGGTTCCAACATGAACATAGTCATAGCGGTTTGCATCGGTGTATTGCAGATTCATGATATCATACCTATAAGGAAAACAACATGTGTGTCTTGGAGAATCTGGACAGCTGCGAATGCAAAGAGAATTGGCAAATAGGTAATAATAGAGAAGACAATTAAAACTATTGTCATCCCATGTCTTAACAGAAAGTACTCGTTTTTCTTTATTTCTAATATTTTTCTCATTTTGAAAAATGTGAATTCCTTCAGCCTGAAATACTCATATTTGTAAAGAGTTTATTTTCATGTATTTTCTCTGTGTTTCTTCTTTTTGTTTTTGGGCCATAACCAGTGTTCAGGGATTAAAGCAAATGCCCTTGCTCAAGGCAAGTGCCCTATCCTCTCTACTATTTCTTCAGTCTTTTTTCTCTTTGCTTATCCTTAAAAATAAATAGATAGATAAACTTCTGTATGCTGAATTGATCATCATCATGTTCAAATCAATTAAGTTATTCTTTAAACAAGTAAATATTATTGAGAAAGGTCATTTATAAACTTGATGCTTTTAATATAAATTGCCTTTTACCTTCAGTTGTTATTTTCATTAGATTGGATTAAAAGAGGTTAGCTCTGCAGCCTGGAATATTTATAGGTGTTAATAGAGCAAGAAATCTGAGAAATGCATCTTTAATCAGCCAGGATTGAACACTTTGAGCACTGACATTTAAACTGGTCTCTTTCCTGATTAGGACCAAACCATTTTTGAATCTAAATAATTGATGTCATTTATTTTAGCAATTTCAAATGTGACAATGCTATATAACAACAACATCTACATTTAGCAATCACCACAGCAGCCAGAGTTGCTCTGGGGACCAGACCTCATCATTTCCCATCATTGGAGCAGAGTGCTCCAATGCTATGCAAAGAACACAGGAGCTGACATTAGACTGTGTAAGATGCTAACATTTTAACAGTAGAGTATACGCCTTCATAATGTCACTAAGCTTTTTTTTAAAAATTTAAGTTTGTGTGAGCGTTTATTAACAAGACATGTGAAATGATTTCTGAAACACATGTATATGGATGGCAATATCACTGTACCATTCATATTTATATTATCATGACTACCTAAAATACTTGAGTTATTCATATTACTGTAAATAAAAACAAGTGGAAAACACCTTTGTGTTGACATAGTCATTCGTTGCTTCATCACTGAAAACTTTCTGGAATTCTTTGATCTTTTTTGCATGTCACTATTTATTCTATGTAAGCTAAAATTCTAGGGCAATTTCCTCAAAACGTATGCTTCATACTTCCTTACTGGCTCTGCAGTGCAGAATGCTTTCTTGTTCTGTTCTGTTTCTTGTTTATTGGGGGTCACACCAGACAGCGCTTAGGACTTACTCTTGGCTCTGTGCTCAGAGATCTGTTCTTGGCAAGGCTTAGAGGCCTACATAGGGTGCTGGGGGTTGAACCCGGGCTTGCATCCTGTGAGGCAAATCCCTATCCACTATACTATCCCTCTGGGATCCTGGAATTCTTTTCTGTAATGCTAGTGCAGAAATTTCCCCCTCCTGTGTTAAACTATTAGTATTTTGCTCATTGTATGACCTGCATGACCCAAAGAAACTTATGGCAATTAACTAGTCCATTTTCATCTTCTTCAGTTCCCCTCTCCTCCTACTCTACCTAATCCATCCTGTCATATTTCATCTCTACACCTTATGTAGACTCAGAATACTCAGCACTCCAGGAAGCCACTACCAACCAATTTTAGAGTTAGACACCTAATACCGTTTACTAGATTTGCTGCCTGTGCTTAATACATTTTGCCTCTCACAAGGTAGCTTATAGCTTCACACCCAGAACAGATTTCTATGACTTAGCTATCCCCTCAAGGAAAAAGGAACTCTGATCGAGTAAAGGAAGTTTCCTTGCTTTCTTTTCTAACTGAACAGCCCTGAGTGAAGAGAGAGAATGGCACACCTGGAGTTCATTATTCATCTCTCCGTTGTTCTGGCTATTTACTAATAGAGGGTTCTTTTTCCCCATGATGCTGAGATACAGAGAATGTTCTTTCGAGTAGCTATCTGAGTGATATCCAAGTGTTTACTGTGGGCTGAAGGCTAACATATCCTGCTGATCAATGAACTAATCTTCACCTCCAATATTTTTCTCTATCCTAAACTCATTATGGTTATAGAACTTGCTGTGAATGCTCTGTGTGAGTAGTTTCCTTTTTCATTATCTTTAATGTTTATGTTTTACTCCGTACTCTGTTATTAAAGCTCCTTCGAGACTTCCAGTGAAAGCTTAACTGCAATGTTAGCTTTAGAATATTTTCTTCTATAAGTCATTTCCTAAGACTTATTTCAACTTCCTCACTTTCTCTGTAATAAGAGAAATCAGTTCACATTTCATTAACATTTAGGAACCAGAAAATTCACAATATTTTGGTATAAAACACATTTTTAAGAAGTTCCAAATGCTGACGGTAAAAAAAAAAAATACTGAAAGATACCAAGGGAAAAAATACTGACATACTGAAAAAGAGACTATCCTTGTGAACACTGCTTTTTTTCTCTTGACCCCAGAATCTCTTCCTAACATGTTGGCATTTGTTTAGAATATCCTCATTCTGTAAATTACAGCTCTGCAGCATCCATCCCCTCAATGCATTCAGTTTATGTTGTATGATAATTAAAATAATTAAAGAGTGACCAAAAGCAAGGATGAGAGTGTGACAGGAAATAGAAACTAGAGGGGGGTGATTAAAAACAGGAGTGAAATATGAACTGGCCAAATTCAAGCAGGAGGAAATGATCCCTGAAAAATAGACCCCAGAGAAAGCTTATGATTAAATCTGTAAATAAAGATTGAAAGAAACAAGCTAAAATTTTGTGCCTGCATTTTGGATAACAAATAGAGCGAGGAGGAGGAGGAAATATACATCTGCAATGTTCAAAATGCATCTGGCCCTGTGTTCAGGGAACACACTGTGTACCTTCTAAGATGAAGCTAAGTTTCCGTTCCAAACCTGATTCTTCACAGGACCTACTTTCTCATCTCGAGTTTCAGTTCCTTTTGAGACTGAATTTCCAGTGAGACCCAAAGGTATCACCATGATTTCGAGGAAAGAGTGATCAGTGGTCTAAATCTCAGTCCCTTTTACCTCCTTATAACGTTTTCTATGGTTCTTAGTACCCAGCAGCTGTCTACATGCCTAGTACTTGGTTTATCCTCCTCACTCACGTTTCCAACTAATTCTACTTCCACCTAAGGGGCAGCTTCAAAGAAATCCTAAGAATTAATTTTTGTATGGCTAATAAATACTTGTATCCCATGTCCTTCCAAGGCTACTGGGTTTTAACATGGAGAATTCAGTTAGGCATCAGAAAGACTCCCTAAATATAGAAGTTAAGCTTATATGAAAGTAAGGGATATATAGGGAATTAAATAGGGTCAAATAAATCCCTTACTGAACCTTTGAAATGACACTAAGAGGACTTCAAGCAACTTTACCTAATTTTAGAATTAAAGACAATGTGATGAGTTTTTTTTCTTTTCTTTTTTTTTTTAAAAAAAAACATATCTAAAGACAGTGTGATGTGATTAAAAAAAAGTGACAAGACTCCTATTCATTTACCCTGTCTCTAGGAACTTCTCTGGTGTGATTTTTCTTACATTCTCTGGCTCTCAGTTTTCTCACCTATAAAAGGATAATGATATGCCTCTAGCAATGAGAAGTAAATGATTCCATAATCCATTTTAATACATGTGTTTTTCTCAAAAGCTCTCAGTCTACAAAATCACACACAGAAAGATAACAGGGATTCTGAGGAAGAAATGTTGTGGGCATACAGAGCAGCAGTTGAGCTATGAGCCTTTTTCTTTTCCACTGCTGGTACTAAATATTCTCCCACTATTCTGATTATCCCTTTCTACTGAAAATTCATATGAGTAAACAGAACTATTATAAGCCTTGACTCTATTATCTATATACTGTTTATATAAGAGTTCATGATGTTATAAAAGCAAATATTTCAGAATGGACCAGATATAAAATGACCTTGGAAAAAAATGAATATTAGTGGGATTTAATTTACTTCTGTACTGGTGAATTCTTTAAAAGTCAAAGAGACTCATTCTAAGAGAGAATATAATTTCCTTTCTATTTCAAAGAGCTGTGAGATAGCAGGAGCAGAATTTATCCTAAGGAAGGAGAAGATATATATGGGTCTTGGTTCTCTTCATATATTAAGCTCTGTAAGAGGTACAATATTAAAGTATTTTACTACCAGTACGGTATTAACACCAATCAATCATAAAACGCTAACCTGCTGTTCTCGGTTCCAAGAGAAGTTCTACTGATTAGGCATAATTTCTTAGGTTCTTGGGTTAGTGGAGGGGCCCCAGGCGTTCCAAGGGAAAGGTCAGATAATGGATGAGAAGAAAGTAGTAGTGAAGAGTGCAGTATTGTGATGGCTTTTTTTTTCTTTTTCAGTCACACCAGCAATGAGACATGGTAATTCCTAGCTCATACACTCAGAAATTACTCCTGGTGGTGCTCATGGAACCATTTGGGATGCTGAGAATCAAACCCAGGTCAGCTGCATGCAAGGCAAATGCCCTACCTGCTGTTCTATCACTCCAGCCCCAGTATTGTGAATGTTTACTGATATGCACTCTAGGGTTTTAGAGAACAGTCTGGCCTATGGTGATTTCCATATAATATTGATCATTTATCTTTAGCTACCTACTTTGTGTATCTTCATGGTACCCAAAATGTTATGGAGTCAGAATTGCCACGAGGCTAGCTTAAGAAGGATCACAGGTACATGTGATGTTAGGGAAAAGATGACTTTACCTCCCAGGAGCATCCCCTTTCTCATCAAACCACACCTCCTCTCCAGACACACCAATGAATGTGGACTTGATGAGGAAGTCCAGGAGTTTTCTGCCATCGATGGGCTTCATGGCATCGCAGAGTCCCACATGGCCAGGACAGAGGGCATGGTGCATATTCTGTAGCCCATGAGCCATGGCGTAGATGGCATTGATGACAAACCCCATCTTACTGTCTTGTACATAGTTTTCTTCCAAGCTTTCATTGCCTACAAAAAAGGAAAATAGATAGTATCAAAATCATAATAAAAGAAGAGCCTGTATGCTTAATTAGAAAAGACTACTGAATTATCAGAGGAAGGCAAAAATTCATGACATGGGCAAAAGTAAATGCTGTTACACAACAGTTAGTCAAGCTTTATGTTTGTACCTAGCATTAGTGCCCTCGCATCATATTTCTGCATACAATTGACTCAATTTTATTTTCTGTATTCAATAGATAAAGCAAACTCAGTGAAGATGAAAATGAAGAACTCTGAAATATTTCAAGTAAATTCTTAAGAAATGACAGTGGGGATGCAGTGTTCACAGAGATTTGTATTTCAAGTCTGTAAATCATGGTACTGGAAAAAAATTCCTAAGATCCTAAGGACAACCTAAAATGAATATATGAGTTTATGTATTCCCTAGCTCCTAATTTTTTTTGATAAATTCATGAATTTTATCATCTCTAGGGCCACAAAATCCCCAAGTAGCACTATAGCACTGTCTCTCCCGTTGTTCATAATTTGTTCAAGCGGGTACCGGTAACATCTCCATTGTGAGACTTCATTGGTACTGTTTTTGGCATATCAAATATATCACGAGTAGCTTGCCAGACTTTGCTGTGCAGATGGGATACTCTCAGTAGCTTGCCAGTCTCTCCGGGAGGGACGGAGGAATCGAACCCAGTTGGCCGCATGCAATGCAAATGCCCTACCCACTGTGCTATTGCTCCAGCCCAAGTATGTAGGAAAATCCCCAAGTATGTAGGAAAAATAAGTAGTATAAATTATTTCTCATTTGTAGTTAGCAGCACATAAATAATAATATATGGAGTTTTAGAAACTCATGTAAATTATTTTTTATTTAAGACTATGCTAATTTATCTTAAACCTTGCACTTCACTTGTAAATTTCAAAACTTCCTACTGTCATCTCTAGTTGTAACAAAGGTGGATAAAAACTTCACTAATTCCAGTTTCACAGAAACAGTATTGATTAGAAATGAGCAATCTCCATATCAGAAGTCTAGACTTTAAGACTTAAATATGGATGAAAAATCCAGGGACCAATTAGATTTACTCAATAAGTGGTGCTGGGAAAACGGGGTAGCTACATGCAAAAAATGAAACTCAGACCTTTTTCTGCATAAAAGTCAGATCAAAGTGGATTAAAGACCTCAATATCAGATCTGAGTCTATAAGGTACATAGAGGAAAAAGCATCTTCATTGAAGCTAAAGGCATTTTTAAAGATGAAATGCCACTGAACATGCAACTGGAAGCAAAGATAAACAAATGGCCTACAGTCAACTGAGAAGCTTCTGCACCTCAAAAGAATCAGTGACCAGAATATAAAGACAGCCCACAAATTGGCAAAAATTATTTACCCAATACCCAGCTGATAATGGGTTAATATTCAAGAAATATAAGTCACTGAAAGAAATTCACAAGGAAAAAGCATGCAACTCCATCAAAAATTGGAAGAAGAAATGAACAGAAATTTCCTCAAAGAAGAAATACAAATGGTCGAAAACACATGAAGAAATGTTCTACAACACTAATCATTAGGGACACACAAATGAGAAGAACAGTGAAATATCATCTCACACTACAGAGACTGGCACACATCCAGAAGAACAAGAGTAACCAGTGCTAGTGTGGATGTGGGGAGAAAGGGACTCTTCTTCATTGTTGATAGAAATACTGACTGGTTCAACCATTTTGGAAAACAAGATGGGATTGCTCAAAATGCTATAAATTAAGTGAGCTTCAATGACCCTGCAATACCACATCCGGGAAATATTCTGGGGGCCCAAAAATAGCAGAAATGCTTTCTGCACTTCTATGTTTATTACTGCACTATGGATCCATAGCACAGCGGTATTTGTTTGCCTTGCACGCAGCAGGCCCGGCCGAGCCGGGTTCGAGTCCTCTACCCCTCTCCGAAGCCCAGCAAGCTATGGAGAGTATCTCGCCCTCACGGCAAAACCTGGCAAGCTACCCATGACGTATTCAATATGCCAAACACAGTAACAACAAGTCTCAAAATGGAAATGTTACTGGGCCCGCTAAAGCAAATCGAAGAACAATGGGAGGACAGTACTACAGTGGACAGTGCTATTCACAATATCCATAACCTGGAAACAACCCGAGTTCCCCAGACAGATGACTGGTTAAAGAAACTATAAAACACCTACGCAATAGAATACTAAACAGCTGTTAGGGAAAATGAAGTCACGAAATTCGTGTATAAATGCATGGACATGGAGAGTATCATGCTGAGTGAAATGAGTCAGAAGGAGAAGTACAGACATAGAATGATTGTACTTATTTGTGAGATATAAAAAACATAATATGAGACATATACCCAAAGGCAGTAGAAACAAGGGCCAGTAGGATTGGTCCAAGGCTGGAAGCCTGCCTCAAGTGTTGAGGGAGAGGGCAGCTGGGATAGAGAAGAGACCACTTGGACACAGTTTTTAACTGTGTTCTGAAATGGAGAGAGAGAAATACAGACAGACAGAGACAGAGACAGAGACAGAATAACAGAGAGAAGAAAAGTGCCTGTCATTGAAAAAGGCTGGTGGGGTTGGGAGGTGGATTGGCATGAGAGAAACTGAGCACTCTGATGGTGGGACATGCACACTGGTGGAAGGATGTGTTTGGGTACATTGTATGACTGGAACCCAATCATGAACAGCTTTATAACTGTGTGTTTCAGGGTGATTCAATAATTAATAAATTAAATTAAATTAATAAGAGTTACAGATTTGGAAATGGTATTGATTAGGAGCACACCACTGGCTTAATTCTGAGACTTTTGTCATAATTATAGAAATTTGGTTCTCCACTGTGGATGTTCCTTTTCCCAGTTGACTGACAGTGAGAGTCTATAGGAGGTGTGCTCCAGGCATTGAAGCTAAAAAAGGTTGACACATTCAGCTGCTTATGGATTGAGAATAATATGAAGTTGCCCATGACATGTTCCAGCCTCAATAAGTCACTGACTACCAAGGTTTTTGAACAAAGAAGTAGCAGAGACTATTTAGGAAGTTAGACAAGTCTTTAGAAGAAAGAGCATGCAGTTTTCACTTTGATGTAGAGCTTGGGATAAAATATAAAGCTTCTAAAGAGTTCTTTATATAGAGAGATTATATATAAAGGCTCATATATTTAGATATAATTGAAAATGTGAAAAATATGACACTTAGCTATTTTAAATGAAAGGTCCATACAAACTTCTCAGACTTGGTTGAAATAAAAAAAGATTCTAGTTTAATCCATCTTCAAATATTGCATAATAGGAAACTGTTAAGAGACTTAGTACACTAAAGTAATAGTTTTCTAAGTGACATTTTGCAAGTGGAAATAAGAAGTAAGATATACAACAAGCATTTAAAACTGAAACACATAGAATAAGTATAGAAAGTTGGATAAATCAAAGCTCATTGTTGCAACAAAGTGATGAAGCTGTTGAAATTGGGTAAATTAAATCTCTCACATAGACATAAACACTGGCTTTTAAACATTAGTTTGTCCTCTATTGATATGTTCTTTGTAGACAGCCCCGACAGTCCAAGCGATGTTGCTAACTAAACAGTAAACTTTCTGGGGTTAGAAGAATTACAATCATGCAGGCAGGGAGGGTAGGCAGGAGGGAGGAAGAGAAGGGATGGAGGGAGGTAGGAAGGCAGGAAGGCAGGAAGGCAGGCAGGCAGGCAGGCAGGAAAAAAGGAAGGAAGGAAGGAAGGAAGGAAGGAAGGAAGGAAGGAAGGAAGGAAGGAAGGAAGGAAGGAAGGAAGGAAACAATAAAAGTGACTGAATGACAAAATAAAAATAATCTTCACAATAATATCCTCTCAAAGGATCTAGTTAATACTTAAACTATCAACCTGAAGTTGAATTGGCTATAATCAAGTTGATTGATTATAATCAAACTGAGTAACTTGTGGAAATACAGGAGAATAAGAATGTGTTGATGCTATTATTTCTGTTTTGTTTCACAAACCTACCAGCTGTGCTATCGCTTCAGCCCAGGTGAACAGCGGTATTAATCCTAACCAATTTTACATTTCTCTAAATTTAATATATCGGTAATCCATAACCATTGTGCTCCCAGCTATGTGCTCAGGAGTATCTCCTGGTGGTGCTGGGGACCATTAAGTATGAGGGATCAAATCTGACCTACCATACACAAAGCATATGCTCAGTCTCCTGAGCTACCCCTTGGGCCCAACATATGCTGCTTTTTATCAAATGAAGAGCTTTAAGATATGGAAAATCCTAATGACTACTGAGTTTATCATTATTATTTTTATAAACACTATTAAGTATTTATTATAAAGTAGTCAGAGTGATGATACCAGGGATAGGGCATAATAGGGCATCACATATTCATAGCCTTGCATACAGCTCACCCAGGTTTAATCCCTGGTAACCCATATGGTCCCCTGAGCTCAGCAAGAAAGATCTTTGAGTGTAGAGTCAGGAGTAAGTCATGAGCTCTGCCAGGTGTGACCCTAAAAATAAAAGAAATTATGCTTGGTGCACCAAGAAAAATATTCCTGAGCTAGTTCTATAGTAGATATTTTAATAATCAGCTTTAAGCTCATAACTGTTCTTGGATTTCTCTGAGGTCAGTTTGAAAAAATAGATTCTTATGTAGGGAGAGCAGATAACTTAAAACCAAGTCACAATTGAGAATGAAATGGTGTAAACAAACTGTTCGTACTGACATATTTCTTGTCAGTGGGTATGTTTGCTGATTTATTATTGCTAATACTTCTATATTGATTACAGATAAAATGTAAATATATATACTACATAAATGTATGCACACGCAGGTATACAAGAAGTAATCTGGTGAACAGCGGTATTAATCATAACTAATTTTACATTTCTTTAAATTTAATAAGAAGTCTCTATATCGGTAATAATTCTAGTTGCGATTTTGAGTATTTGTCACATAAAATATTGAATCATTGGGCTCTAAAGTTCCTCACAGTCC